TGTAGGGTGTGCAGTGTAGACAGTGTAGAGTGTGCAGTGTAGACGTAGCCTTAGATAATGGACTAGCCTTTAGCTTTACAAAAAAGGCCCTACCAAATTCACAGCCATGAAAAACGCATCAGGGACCATGAAATCTGGTCTCCCCCCCCCCGATCCGTGAAATCTGGTCTTTTGTGTGCTTTTACCCTATACTACACAGATTTCATGGGGGGAGACCAGCATTTCTCAAATTGGGGGTCCTGACCCAAAAAGGAATTTCAGGGGGGTCTCAAGGTTATTTTAGGGGGGGATCACAGTATTGCCACTCTTACTTCTGCGCGGCCTTCAGAGCTGGGCAGCCGGAGAGTGGCGGCAGTTGGCTGGGCGACCAGCTCTGAAGGCAGCTCCCCGCCAGCAGCAGCACAGAAGTAAGGGTGGCAATACCATACCAGGCCATCCTTACTTTAGCGCTGCTACTGGCAGTGGCTCTGCCTTCAGAGCTGGGCTCCCGGCCAGCAGCCACCACTCTCCAGCTGCCCAGCTCTGAAGGCAGCGCCGCCACCAGCAGCAGCAGTAAGGGTAGCAGTACTGCAACCCCCACAATTACAACACCGTGAAATTTCAGATTTAAATAGCTAGAATCATAAAATTTATTATTTTAAAATTCCTATGATAGTTAAATTGACCAAAATGGACCGTAAATTTAGTAGGGCCCTATTCATAAAGGAAGCCCCAGCCACTCCTTTTACACTGAACCAGACAAAGTGTTAGAAAACACACTGTACATCACAGTAAAAAATTCAAGCCAGGTAGAAACTCTCAAGAAGACTCAGCTTTGGTCAATGTTCATTTACCTTTCCCTGAATTGCTCTCCGTAGACTGGGACAGCCTCTTGACGCGCTTCTTCCCCCTTCGGGCCTCATAAATGGCGTTGATTTTCAATACCAGCTGCTCAGCAAGCAGGAGACAGAAAACAGGGTTAGTGCCCTTTCCCCAATAAGGGAGATGAAAATGTTATTGTTCCAAAGGGAATTTTCAGTTTCCTAATCCTGGTCAACAACCTTCCAACCAGTAGACCCTATAGGTACCATAAACATTATGACCCTGTCTACCCTTTGTTGACAATGAGTCCCCCTGGGCCATGCCCTGGACCAGCCCTCCCCACTCCAGTGGATTCGAGAACAACAGATCACCAGTAAAGATTAGGGTTAAACTGTTCTCAACACCTCTTACAGAAAGCATGTTAGAGACCTATTGAGGATTTGAAAACCTACTTAGGTTACTGAGAACCTTATTTAAAAAAATGCGTTAGACACTTTATACATTTTCCATATGGGGGGAAATCAGTGCTAACTGAAGCCACTGTTAAAATGAGCTTTTAAAAAAAGTCTTTTAGTACAGTCCCTTTTGTAGACTAGTCAGGGCTGTAGATTCAAGGGGTCAGCTCATCATCCCTCTTTGCACTGCAGGCAGCGAGTGACTCTCACAGGGCAAATGGGGGTTCCCCTTGTGTAGGGAAATCCCCAGGTGGTTTGAAGTCAGTATAGCCAGTTCAAGGCCAGGTGGCTCGTGGCCATCAGTTGGTCCAGTTGGTGTCCTGGGAGTAGGATGAATGGGGCATGATCAGATCTTGCTGTCATCTAAGGCCAGTGGCTCCTAGGATATATAGAGCACCTGAGGCTGATCTACCTTGGCCCAAAGCATTCCCTGGGTATGGGACAGCAACAAGGTGGCAGAATGCAACTTACACACAGGTAGACCTGAAGATCCAGCTCCGAGAGTTTTAAAAAACAATTTCAAACGAATCCCGTCCCATCCACCCCAGCGGCACAGCTCAATTATTGATATTTTTAAATATGAAATAGATGCCTAACATGACACAACTCATCATGCAGATGGGACCTTGGGGGAGGCACAAGAAGCAGAAAGGCTTTATGTTAAGAGTTTGGCTTTGTTACTACGCTAGTACATACACACCTATGAGCGACCCTGGAGAACAACCATCGTGTAATCATCAATGATAAAGAGGTGCTGGACTTACTGACTTAGTACAAATTTGGTCAGAAATGCTTTAAACAAAAGCCTTTAGGATAGATCATTTATTTCACATCTCGAGCTGTCTGTCCTGGTTCTCATGTTGGTACCAACATCAATGTATATAGTAAATCTTATTCACGGGCACACAGCACTACACTCACCAATAAGTTCACACCCCTTAACTTCCTCATCCATGGCACTTAATGTGAACTTGTGTACACACATGCACATCCTGAAACATGAATGCTCACTCTCTCTCTCACACACTCACACACACACACACACACACAAGCACACTAAGTAGACACATGGCAAAAATCTGCATCTCTTTTTAGGCATGAACACAAACATTGTGAAGACCCAATATGTACAACACAGACATGCACAATTAGATTTGTACACATGAAAACACATGATCAGAAGACATAAATACACAAAAGCACACATTTTCCCAAAGGAAGACTGTCTGCTCAGAGACACAGTTGCAGCCTAGCACTGCTAACCTTTGCCATAGCCTTGCTAAGAGCAGGAAAAATAACCATGTTTTGAAAGCATTCAATACGTGGTCCACAGCCTCACTTGAATTGAACCCAACTACTCCCCGATCTAAATCTAAAATAGTGTCATGATATATGAAATCACAGTCAATCTTAAATAGGAAGTGTTGTTAAAGAAAATATCTATAACTACAGACAAACAAACAAGATTCTACACAGCTTGAGTTCCAGCTTTGTCTCCTTTGTTTATGTGGGATCATACCCCTGCTTGGAACTCTTACAGCACATTGAGACATCTAGTGAATAATATCTTGAAAGAAAATATATATTATCACCAGGTAACAACTACTGGACACATGGCCCTTCATTGGATCCACTGCTCTCCATGTCCTTCACTAAACATGGCTGGAAATCAAGATGTATTCTTTGCAAAAAATTCATCAATTTTCTATCAACATTTGAATTTCATTAAAAAATCTAGTTGAAATTTCTAATTCTGAATTTTTTTTTTTACTGTTTTATCCCTCACAGTAGTGTAGGACATGTCAGAGAGAAAAAACACATTATTTAGACCAGTGGCTCTCAACCTTTCCAGACTACTGTATTCCTTTCAGGAGTCTAATTTGTCTTGTGTACCTCAAGTTTCACGACACTTAACTACCTGCTTACAAAATCAGACATAAAAATACAAAAGTGTCACAGCACACTATTATGGAAAAATTGCTTGCTTTCTAATTTTTGCCATATAATTATAAAATAAATCAACTAGAATATAAATATTGTATTTCCATTTCAGTGTATAGTATGTAAAGCAGTATAAAGTCATTGTCTGTATGAAATTTTAGTTTGTACTGACGTGACTAGTGCTTTTTATGTACCTGTTGTAAAACTAGACCAATATCTAGAGGAATTGATGTACCCGCTGGAATACCTCTGTGGGCCCGCAGAGATACATGTACTCCTGGTTGAGAACCACTGCTTTAGACCTTGCAGAGATCTTTGGACCCCTTTTTTCCCATGAGAAAAAGGGTGGGTGGGATGTAGAAAATGTTTAGTACTAACTGTGAAAGGTTAATGGAAATCAAGTCATAGCCCAGAACTCTTCCTAAATTTTATGGGCATGACATTGGAAATTGCACCAAAAATTTGTCCTTATCAATGTAACAACACATGAGAAGCCAGAATAAGGGGGAAAAAAAATCCTGAAGTTACCTTGGGAATCTTCCTTCTCCTCTTGCCATTCTGAGAATCTCCCAGGGAGAAGAAGGTATCATCTGGGCTGCTGGGGGTAGAGGGAGGGCTGATTTTGGAAGGGGACCCAGTACCGTCACGACTCAGTTTCCGTATGTCCAGCAGTTTGAAACTCCGCCGCTCTGAGTTTTGTCGAAAGAAAATGGGTTTGGAAAGCAACTGGGGAAGGAGACAGAACGGAGGAGAGGAAATAAATTAACACAGCACTCTCTATCTCACCATACGTCTCAAGGAAACATTGTGACAGCACTAATTTCAATTAGGTGAGCTGGAGCACATGGCTAGCACACAGGCAGACGTGGCTTACCAGTATGCTTGGCAGATTCTCACAGGCCCAAGAACTTTGCATGGCTGTCACAGTTTTCACAGGACTACTGCGCAAGACAATTAAAGACAATATTGTGCCAGACAATTAAAGACAATATTCCAGAGAAAGGTGCAAGAAACCCCATCATGGACAGCAATGGAAGTTAGTTTCTTCCTAACCCCATCAGTAAATGGTTGGTTAAGTCCAGTCATAGCCCAACAGGCTGATATATTATAGTATCACTGTTCAGATTCTAAATTCCCCAGACCAAAGGAGCTGGGAGTAGTGCCAAAGCAGCATACTCAGGGGGAGGGAATGCCTCATATATCCTAGGGAGCAACTCCGGGACAATGCTGGGAGAAGCTCCAGAGAGAGATAGGGCCACTGTGAAATGACACTTTGGGGGAAGTGTGAAGAGGAAGTAGAGGAGGGAATACAGAGGGAAGTCATGGAGCATTCTCTCCTCACCAGTTCTAATCCCTCCACTATTTGTAACTTTTTTATTTAGCGAAACTACAGGAACCTATGTGTGGGTGTGAAGGTGCAGCTTCCCTTTACATTGTCAGTGTTGGCCAGTGCCTACAATTTTTCCTGTTGGTATGTCACAGGATGAGCTTGGGCCTTTAAGGGGGTCAAAGTTCAACTCACTCCTGTGATAGCAGGATTTTCAAACGCCCTCAGCGTTGGCCTAATTCTGCTCCTGTTTGAAGTCAATGGGAGTTCTGCCATTGAGTCAACAGGCACAGAGTTAGGCCACTGCTGTTTAGATAACAAGCAGTTAATTCAAATGGATTTCAAATTCAGCTCTCTGGTTAAATCCGAGCAAGCTGCTTTTCAGTGCAATGACTCTTGGTAACAACTTTTATCGCATTCTCCTTCTTTATAGTACAGCAGCACCCGGAGGGCCCGAGCAGGATCAGCTCTTCTTGTGTTGGGTGCTGTACACCCACAGAGACAATCCCTGCCCTGAAGAGCTTACTCTGCCCCCCCTCCCAGGAATGGAACACCTTCCAGGGAGGAAGGAATTGGGGGCAAAAATGAGCTGTCTGCTTCTTCACGGCTTCCGAGAGAGTGAAGAAGCTTCTCCTTTGGAGACTGGCCTCCACTGCTTCTTCCATCAACCCAATGATTCAATTTATTTATGATGGGTCTTCAGGGTGGGGAGCCTCTCAGACATTCCTAGTCAGTTCTGGGTTGGGGGAATGGGACGGGGCAGGGCTCTACCACGATTTGGGTCCAGTAAGGTCCATGCTATAGTTGAAACTATGCTGGCTATCAGACAGGGTGTTAACAGCACATTTTTCCTGACCAACGCGGACAGCAGTTTTTTGTGTTAAGAACCATGTAGCAGTATAACTGTGTTATTTCAGCTCCTAGATACTACCTTGACAGGGGGCGCCATAAGGATGAAATCCATCCCCGTGCAGAGGGCCAGCACAAGGCCTATGCAATAGTTCAGTCCCATTTTGAGAGCTTGAGTGGGACTTACGAGGTGGATGGGTCCTTGTATGTGCCCTCTGCACAGGTGTGAATTCCATCCCAAATACCTGTGATGAAGAGATTAGCTATACAGCCATGCTACAGTTTACCTCTGGGGGGTAAGGAGCTGATCAAAAAATGCAGACACATTTTCATAAGAACATTTCATTGCAATTTCACATTTTCTAAAAAATCTCAATCACCTTAGAAGCTGGTTGAAAAACAGCAACATTTTTTGGGGGGGGAAAAGGTGTCAACATTTTGAAAAAATTGAAATCAGCCCTAATAACAATATCTGCAGCTTGGATAGCACGGCGAGGGCTCTTGGTAAGGAAAACTGAGCTTATACCCCCGCTGTCGACATTACTTGTTACTAGCGTGATCTTCTACTGTCACATGGGCTGAGCCTGAGGCAGCCTGGACAGTGTAAGGCAGCGTTTCTCAAATGCGGCCACCATGACCACCAGGGGCTTTTCTTGCGGCCACGACAGCCTCCTGGACAGTGGGGGTGGGGCGGCAAAGCAGTGGAACCTCCCCCAGGGCCACCAGCAGGGGTTGGGCCCTGCCCCCCTCTGGAGCCCCAAACGCCAGAGGAGCAGGCAACCAGTGAATTCCCCACCTTGCTAGGGGCGGTAAGTCTTGGCTTCAGCCCTGGGGTGGCGGGCAGCAGGATCCGGTCATGTGGTTTTGGGTTCTGGCTCTGGACTCTGGCCATGCGAAGGCCGGTGCCGGCCCTTGGCTCACACACACACGCCTCGCATCTCCCCTGACCCCTGCTGCCTCACCGGTCACCCATCCATCCCCCCATCGCTCCTGGACACTGCTGTCCCCCTACCCACCTCCCCGTCCAGGGCTTCTGGCTTGCCAGGGCTGAGTAAGTCTGCTGTGAAAATTTATATGTGTATGTTTGTTAATATTACTTTTCACAGCAGACTTACTAGCTAGCTGGGAGGCTGTGAAAAACAATATTAACAAACATACAAATGTTACTTTTCGCAGCAGCAGACTTACTAGCTATCAAGTCTTTTAAAAAGCTACTAAAAAGCCAAAGAAACAACAAAAAGAGAGAAGAATGTGCAAAGCACCTTATTTTGGGTTTCTATTCTGTTTAGATCCAATACAGAATAGTGACAACTGTACATTATTTTTATTATTGAGTCTGCAAAAAAACCCAAACCCAACATAATTAAATTACAATGATTTGGAAGCATATATGTGCATATTTATTTGTTTTTCCTAAAGTTAATTAAGTATTTTAGGAAAAATTGTCAGAGCAGCCATCAGCAAGAGTTGGTGGCTGCACTCGGAGGTCACCAAAAAATTGGTTGTGAGAACCCCGGGTCTAAGGGTAGAACAGGTAGCAACTGGAACGACACAGGAGGCAGACAGCATGGCTGCCCTTCACTGGATCACAAGCTTCCAGAAAGAGGCGCAGACCATATATTTACCCCCTCCTCTGGTCTCATTGCTAAAGAGAAAGACAGCATCAGATTGAGAGTTGCAGCGCTTGCATGAGATGGGGGAGTCCCCAAGAAAGTAGGACCTCAAGGGTGCACTTGTTAAGGATGTCTGAGCTAGCCAGGAAGTCTAGTAAGCGCCTCCCAGTGAAACCACAGGGAGTTGGTTGCTACCTTTAACCAAACTGATCAACGGAAATCCAACAGGACCTTCCTAATGGAGGGAGCGATAGATGCTTCACTTCACAATTCTTAACAGCTGCAAAAATGGATTACATATTGCCCATGGATGCTGATCAGATTACTGGGCCTTGACTGGCGGCGCATCCAGTGCCACTTTAAAGAGGAGGAGGCTACCTTACACTGCAGCAATAAATGGCCTTTCCCTGGTTTTAAATATTGTGAGTGAATGTAGCACTCATAAAATTGTGGGGCTAAAAGCGCAGGGCTGAGCGAAATACAAAGCAGCCCAGAACAGGTAAAACTTCCTTCTCGTAGCTCTGCCAATGGTCCTCAACTCTAAACCGCAACCCCACCCTGCTCTCCGGTTCTGGGGTTCCGCTAGATTGAAACTGAGATTGCCATCTGGTGGGGATTCTCTGTAGAACTGGGCCCAAACCAACACCCCAAATGCAAATACCCCTGAACCTCAGGAGAGGTGAGCCCTGGAACCAAATTTTGCAACGAAGGTCCACAGTTAGTTTTGTGCTGGACACGTGTAGAGACTAGATCAGAGCACAACTCATTTTCACTTGGAACCTAGTAAAAATCTGACTCCAGGTTTCCAGAGGCGAGAGGCCAACACGAGCCCACTGCACTATCACAGCCCTTAGCAAGTCTGTGCATATATGAGTTACCATCTTGGTTAAGATCAAACAGCTGCCCTTCCTTTTGTGATCTGCTTGCTTTCCCCCAAACTGCTTGCACGATGGGGAGGCTTCACTGGGAACACATATTTACAGAGGAAATGGATCCAAACAGGATTTTGTCCAAAACAAAACATGATCGCTGGGATCACACCCTTCTTGCATAAAATCTTAATGTAGCACTAACAATTACAAACCCTTAAATCTTATCACGGATTATTGAGCGAGTTCCAGATGCATGCTCCTGGCATACTGCTTAGGAGTTAACCCCCGTGTGAGAAAAACGAAAACAAGACACCGCCCCAAAGGGTGAACATGGCAATTCTTGTGCCCATGGCTCTCTATTCTCGCTATTGCACCTCCCCTCAACAGTAGCTAAAACCTAAAAGGTAAAATGCTGGCCCCATTAAAGTCAATTGTAAAACTCCATTGGCCTCAATGAGAGCAGGATTTCACCCAAAGCCTTTTGGGAACTGGACACAAGTCATGCTGGTCGAACCAGGATACCTTGGAGGGCGTGCCAGGTACAGAGGAGGTGGGGGATGCTGGGAAAGTCAGGACACATTTCTTCCCCAGGCAGCGGCTGTTCATCTCAATGTCTTCATAGGGGTTTTCCTTCGATGGTGGATCTGCAGCAAAAAGCCACATGCTATAGGTAAGAAATGCAGAAAATCATGGAAGAGTCCCACAAAATCTCTGCTGGGATCCTATGGCTTTCTCCCACCTCCCCCCATCTGGTGGTTAAAAAAAATTGTTCTCAAACATTCTTGCCATCCCTTCCCTCTCTCCAGCTCTGGGAGTCCAGCTGCTTACTGGATTGCATCCAAATCCTGACCAGGATGTATCCAGCCATAGAATTATGTCACAGAAGTTAGAGATGGAAAAGACCCATTAAGTCCTCCAGTCCATTTCCCTGTCAATGGAGAAGTCATAAGGTTTTCATATACCGTGGCCCTTAATATCCCTTCTCTTCATTCTTCTGATTCCCTGTTCTCTCTGAATTAAAGGCCTGTGCTCCATCTAAGTCCCACCTAAGCCTTCCAAATATCATTTAAGTGGGTCTTAAGTGGTGCATAAGCCTCATGCTGCTAATTTGGGGTGCCTTGATTTGTAGGTGCCCACCTTCAGACAGCTAGTGCCTGATTCTTCAGAAATGCTGAGCACCCACAACTCCAGTTAACTTGAAAGTGAGCTGAAGATACTCAGCACCTCTGAGAGATCAGGCCCTAGGTATCTCAGTCTGGGTACCTAAAATCAGTGATGGAAAATGTAGGCCCAAGTGTCTGAATGGGCAGGCAATTTATTACGAGCCTTCTCTTTCCTTATGCATACTGTCGTGCCACCACAATGGAGAGCCATTAGTTAAAAGCAACCTTCTTTCTCCTGTTCTTGTACACATCTAGCTGAGAATGAAACTAGGGGGTCAGTAATGCTGGGGCAGGCACTGCAGCTTAGCTTTGGATCCTGTATATGGTTTGTATTTCTTCTTTGGCTGTGCAACAGCCTGCCCTGCCAGAGGTCAATGGAGGGGGGGACCGCAGCTGAAGTCATCAGACAAGGACACAACACCGCAAGACCTTTTCTACATCTTCTCCTATGATACTCCATGAGTCTATGAGTGACTGTCTGGACTCACCAAGGTGAGGGAGGTAAAAGTACTTTTGTCTATCAAAGAAAGCTGCATGCAAATGTTCTGGAACCACACACTGCCCCTGAACTAGAGAACTTATTTTAGGTGTAGGTTTTTCATGGATGTGAATTATTCCAACTGTAATTATCTGATCAGCATTTAACACACTGGAGAGACAGGAGCAGTGAGAATTAGCACTCAGTACCAGGGGACACTGCAGCTCTCCTCCTGCTGCCAGCGCTGTTTGCAGACTGACCTCCCACTTGGTATGGCAACTCCCATCTTTTCATGTGCTGTGTATTTACACCTGCTACTGTATTTTCCACTCCATGCATCCGATGAAGTGGGTTTTAGCCCATGAAAGCTTATGCCCAAATAAATTTGTTAATCTCTAAGGTGCCACAAGGACTCCTCGTTGTTTTTGCTGATACAGACTAACACGGCTACCGCTCTGAAATTTGTCAGCTTGGGGAGAGAGGCGTGGCTGTTTAGGAATGGAGGGATTTGCCAATGCTTTAACCCTGTAATATGATCCATGTTATTCCAGCTGGAAGGGTGACACTTACATAGTGGCTTTGACCAGCAGCTGTTAGGCAATCCCCTGTCCTTTGGCCCCCAAACCAGCTGGGGAAAGAGGGCACATAAGGTCCCCCTATCTCTTGCAAAAGAGGCAGGCAGCTTTAAAATTTACAACTAATGCCAATCTCTTCTGATCGGGGAAAGGACAGGGCATCTCCACCTTGTCTGTAGCAAATCCCAAGGGGATGCGTGTCCTTTGTGAGACCTCTCTAACCAAACACCATGAGAGTTTGCTAAGATCAAAATGGCAATGCCCTGCTGGTTCCTGTGGCTCTCTCCCATCCCAAACAACGTGACCCACCTCTGTAGGATACAACAGCACTGATTTCCTTCCTCTCCAGCTAAACTCTGCCAAGAGGTTCACTTAACTCTAGCTCTGCGACAGCTAGACTCAAAGCTCTTCAGGACACGGGATGTGTTCTGCTCTACGTTCTGGAAAACACTGTGTATGTAAGTGTAGGATAATACAATAACATTCTTGGGAATGGCGCTGATGGAATCTCAGCCATCCCCAGGCACCTGCACTAACGCTGAAGGGTGGGATAAATCACAGTGCCACAAACGCGAACCCAGGGATTGTGGGACCCAATATTTTAATTTCACAGTCACCCGTTCACACAATATTTTTCTTCCTGCTGGCTGATATTTTGTGTGTGATGCACCACAGCATGCTCTTGCCTAATAAATACACTCTCCTAGGTCAGGCCTTGGACTGTGACACGTTTTCATCGATGGTCTCCAAGTCTTTTTAGTTGTCCAACCCCTCCCCATCCCCCTCTTGAAGCTCCTACCCAGAATGTCTTCATACACGTTTTCCTCAGATAAAGTGCGTGTGAGGGCCAGCTTGGTCTGAGCGTACCAATCCACCCTGCCATTCTCGGACGACGACTGCAGCAAGTCTTCAAACTCATAGGACTTCCTGTGCCATTCGGGGGGGAAGGGTGGGAAGAAGGGGGTGGGGGAGAAATAGGATGGAGAGTGATAGAGATAAACAGACTTTACAAGTCCAATAATTCAATATCATTCACTCGTCTCCAGCAAGTCACTCAGCCAGCAACATGAGCTACGGAGGAGCATCAGTGCACCACAGATCCATCCCGTACAACGTATAAAGCAATGTTGACACAACAATCAGTTTTTACCAGACTGGGACTAGTCAGCAAATGTCAGGGTTGCAATGGTTTATTTAGTGTATAATGATTCTAACACACATGTAAAACACTATGGGCCACAGTCTGCAACACCTACGGCACATTTACACGGCAATCTGGGATCTGACTGCATCACGGGTAGACATACCTGCGCTAGCACAGCTAAAATAGCAGTGTAGATGCAGCAGCACAGTCTTCAGTGTGGACTGTCCAAGCACGCCAAGGACCCCGGGTATCTACTCGCACTGCTAGCTCGCACTAAGCCCATGTCGCCCCAGTAACACTGCTATTTTTAGTTCTGCTAGCACAGGTAAAGCTAGCGTGGATATGCCTACCCATGCTGCATGCACGCCTCTGACTGCAGACTTGACATACCCTAAGTAGTGTCTTCCTCCACAAGCAGTCCCACTGATTACTACTCAACATGAGTAAGCATTGTCAGAAATCAGGCCTCCTATGGGTGGTGCAGGAGAGCAATATGCAACATTGAATAATGAGAAGGGACAGCAGTGGAGCATCCTAGCCTGTCGATCACAGAGAGGTTTAAAGTCCTCTCCCAGTCCAAATGAAGTCAGGAATTTTTATTTTTAAGGTAGATCCACTGCAGAGGATAGGCTCAAAAAGAACAGTACATTTTTAAGGCAGGTTTTTCCCCACCACTCAAATATTTGGACTTACAAAAGGGGATGGGGTGGGGAGCAACCTCCAACAAAACATGAGTAAACAAGGAACAGACTTGAGCAGAAAGGGCAGCTCTCCTCTGAAAAGTGACAGTGTAAAAATGGCATGGCAAGGTCCCCCCTGACCATCTCTCAATGGCTTCTGATCAGCTGTGCTCATTCTGCAAGCAAAAAAGATTGTTTGTTTTGTCTTTAAACTGGCAACATCATGAACTCATCCTGGGATCGGCGAGTCAAGCTGGAATCATTCATTCTCACTCATTGTCACTAGTCATAGGATCTCCATCTCAAAGTCATTACACCTGTGGAAACCTATCGGCCTTGAGTGTTTGCACACAGGTGTAACAGAGCAGAATATATCCTGCAGGCTCGTGATCACTGACATTGCTGAGGCGGAAAGAACACTACTTCACTTTCAGAGCCCAGGGTGAATTTAGGGAGCGGATAGTCAGAAAGACATCCTCTTACTAATGAACAAGGTTGAGACCCAATAAACATAGACCCCGATGATGCCACTTTTGTGGAGGCCCTTTTCAGAAGCAGAACTGTACACCACCATTAAATTAATCAAGAACTCCTGTACCAGCATTAGAATAGTAAAGCCAGAATACCTGTGGTCAGCATTATTCTTATGTTTCCCATTCCATAGTCTTCTGCTGACAGCTGATGGGGGAGGAGAAGAAGGGAGAGGAGGGGGAGGTATAGATGGCAGAGGGGGCAAGTTTCTCTTATTTCTAGCTGCCGGAATCCATCCCTCTTCTCCCTCATGTTTGAAAGTTCGCCTGGGCTTTGGAAGTGGGTTGATGAAGGGTTTCTTCTCCGGTATCCCTGGTTCTGTGTACACATTCTCCATGCTGTGATCCTTGCATTTCACTTGAGATGCTTTCACCTCTTCCAGAGTCCCAAAAATGGGCTCACTGATTTCTGAGTCTAAGCTGAGGAGCCTCTTATTGAGTTCAGAGCCACATACACCTTCCTGGTCCTCTGGGAAGGTTTGTCCCTCATCTGCCTTCTCCTGCAGACAGTGTGGGGAATAATAAGTACCTGGCAACTGTGGCTGCAATTCTGCTGATCCTTCTTTCAAGGCCTGCTCCAGTTTCTTGACCTGAGTCAGTACTGAAAGGTTCTCTTTCTGGACCTCCCACTTACCACCTTTCACCTCCTTGCATTTTCCAACACTGGAATCAACCTCCTCTTCCTTCTCCTGCATTTCCACTTTCCTCTCTGTTCCCTGCCCCATGCTCTTTGAAGTGCCCACTCTTCTTTCATTCTCTTTGCCTATCCCTTTGCATTCCAACTCCCAGGTTATAAGTCTCTTGGTGTCCACTTTCCTAGGCCCCAAAACTTCCCCACTCATCTTCTCCACCACACATGGCATCTTGTGCTCCTCTTTAACTCCTTGCTCTTCCTCCTTCCGACTGACCAGAGGAGAAGGTGTTTCCTTTTTCCCTTCCCACTCGGAAATCTTGTCCTTGATACTGAAGGGCTTATTCCTCAAACTGACTTTCCCAGCTGACTGTAAATTCTGAGTGCCTCCTATCTGTCTCCTTATGATTTTGCTGCTCTCCTTGACATTAAGATCCACAGATTGGTCACTGATAATCATTTTGGGACTCAGCATGTTCTGCTGAAAGCAATCTAGCCTTGGATCCAGCATCAAGTTCTCCAGTGATTTCAATGGGCTTTTCACCACAGAAGAAACTTGTTCAGCTTTAGGTCCTAGACTCAGAGTGAAACTGGCACCTTCAGAATAATTTTCACTTGAAGACCCAAACCAAAGTCCTTCTAATTCCTTCACAGTGTTTCTATTATTTTTACTTGCAAGCTTGACCCTACACAGCAAAGACAAAAGAGAAGAAAAAATCACTTTTGCTGATCATTCTAGGTTTGGTCATCAGTACACCAGCTCTATACGCTCTATTGAAGCAGGTGAGGTTGGCAGGGATGCTCTGCTGCTGCAGAGCATTCTCAGGGGAGGATCCTGGACTCTGGAATGCACTCCTCTCTCTTGCTATGACAGAGCCCAGTTTGATGCAAGACCTGTCTATTATCCCAGGCTTTCTCTGAGGGAGTGGAATGGGGTGAGCATGGGTGGGATTATAGTTTTTGAAAATTAAGAGTGTTCATACTGAGAACAGGTCCATTTGTATTTTTGTATGCATTTTAAATAGAATAGTAGGGCTTTTTTACTTCAATTTAGACAGGTGCATCAAAATAAAAGTCAAAATGGACTCTAGTTTATTTAAGATTTAGTAGCTAGCACATGATTATCAAACAGACGTGTAGACTTGGGACACCGTAGGTATTCCTCTAAAGTCTACTCGGTAACGCCTTTCTAAATAGACTATTTGGCTTAATCATCGAGACAAGGCATAACAAGATCCAGTGGCTGGCAGCTGAAGTTAGCAAAGTTCAAACTAGAAATAAAAGGAGGGAAATTAACCAATGCAAATGATTTTCATGCCATCATTTGGAATCTTTAAATCAAGGCTGGATGTTGTTCTAAAACATAGGGGCTAGTTCAACCAGACGGTATTGAGCTAGATGAAGGAGCCATTGGATGAAATTCTATGGCTTGTGTTACACAGGCAGTCAGGCTAGATTATCACAGTAGCCCTTTCTTGCCTTGAGATCGATGAAACAGAAGAAAGAACCTCACCCATAGTGATCCTCTCCCCCAATAATTTCACTTTCCAAGTTTTTCCAGAGAGCCCATTAACACAATAACATTGCACTTTTATGTTTCTTATTATTATTGTTCATCAGTCACACAGCTGTAACATCCAGGGGACCCACAAAGGGATTAGGCTCCCATTGTACAAACACACACCACACAGAGAGTTCTTGCCCCACAGAGCACGCCATTTAAATGAAGCTTGTCATGGCAAGGGATAAAAACCACTTAATTACATGACACCTGGCTGCATCAGACAAACATGTACTTCGCCGAGCACCTGTCACCCAAGGATCTCAAAGTGCTTTTATCAACATCCATTAAGCCCCAGCTGGGAAGACATTCACATTTATAACATAATCACTTCAAACCCAAAGCTCTTCAGAGCACTTTGCAAAACAATAAGGACTTGTCTATGCTAGAAAGATGGCATCAGTGTAAGTAAATCAATTTTAAAACTATTTAGTTACAGAGGCACAACCCCCTTAAGTTAAACCAGGGGTGGGCAAATGCTCACGAAGTTGGGGGGGTGGGGTGTGAGAGGGGGTGCGGGCTCTGGGGTGGGGCCAGAAATGAGGAGTTCAGAGTGGGGGAGGGGGCTAAGGGCTGGGGCAAGGGGGGTTGGGGGTGGGGTGGGATGAGGCCTCCGGCTGGGGGTGTGGGGCTCTGGGGTGGGGCTGAGGATGAGGGGTTGGGGGTGCAGGAGGGTGTTCCAGGCTGGGAACAAGGCGTTCAGAGGGCTGGAGGGGGATGAGGGCTGGGGCAGGAGGTTGAGGCACGGGAGGGGGTCAGGGGTGCAGGCTCTGGGCAGCACTTACCTCAAGCAGCTCCCAGAAGCAGTGGCATGTCCCCGCTATGGCTCCTACACGGAGGGGCAGCCAGGCGACTCTGCGCACTGCCCTATCCGCAGGCACCGCCCCCACTGCTCCCATTGACCGCGGTTCCTGGCCAATGGGAGCTGCGGGGGCAGGGCTTGGGGCGGGGGCAGCGTGCGGAGCCCCTTGGCTGCCCCTGTGCATAGGAGCTGGAGGGGGGACATGCCACTGCTTCTGGGAGCCGTGCGGAGCAGGGCAAGCCCTGGACCCAGCTCCCCGACGGGAGATCGAGGGCTGGATGCGGCCCCCAAGCTGTAGTTTGCCCACCCCGTGTTAATCCAACATAAATGCACTTACCCCAGTTTAGTTTAATTCTATCAACTCCTGGATTCATATAAATTGGGTGAAGTGCGTCTACACCAGGGGTTGGCACTGACGCAACTAAATCAATTTAGTTACAATGGTGCAAAAACACAGTGTGTAGGTCAGCCCTAGGTTTCCTGCTGGTAGTGCAGTGAGCATGTAAGCAAACCTGGCAGCCATTATGCACCCAGCCATAGCTAACACCCAGCCTCGGACATTGGCATCTGTGGTTACCAAATGGAAGGGAGATACTAACCAGGGTATCATTGTCCCCAAGTCTCATGCTCCTGTAATTTCTGCCTATTTCAGTGGGAGGAGGGACTTTCGTGTAATCTTTTGGATGATGCCTCTAATGGGGTGGACCCCCCCCCCCAGTCTAGCAGTGCACTGTGGTATCATCACAAGTTATTAGACTAACATCAGGATGTGGGATTTAAACGTACAACCTGATGGCCTAGAGACACCGGCTGAGGCATATTGATGCTAGAGGCACATTTTAGGCTATGAGAGAGAGCACCAATGGAAAGTAATGACTCCCTCTCCACTCCCCTCCCTTGGGAAAAAGAAAAACAAGAATTTAGGACTTTTCACCTCTCAATGGATTTGCAGACACCGTTTTCAGACTTGCTGCTCACGTCGGCTGCCTTGCTAGCTGTCATCGTGTCAGCACCTGGCATGGCGACAGATCACCTGGGGGAAGTCAAAGCAACACTGAAATGATCAGAGGTATTGTGACAGACTGACAATATCCTGTAGTATCCTGACCAAAGGTTATGGAATGAAGATAAATGTTACTAAATTAAGTAAAACGTGATTGAATCAGGGTTAGTACCTTGGGGATTCCATTGTATTAAAATGCAATTGTGTACGTGTTACGGGGCACTGTATGGACCTTCTCTAGGAAGAGGGGGATGCTAATGTACTTCCTCTGTTATCAGCCCTTTGAAATGTTCCTCCCTCTCCCCCCACACAGAGATGTGCATATGCTAGTTCAAATGGGATTCTCCAGTGACCAACAGTCAAATTTATTGGATAAATAGTCTGGTTTTAAACTGACTTGGAGCCTTCTTCCTCATCCAGCAAACAGTCAGGACTCTGGTGCATGGAGGGCCCCAATCCTTACGGTAGGATTGGAAGGATGGGGCCTACTGAGACCCCATAAGACTGGGTACGTATAAGGAGCTGAAGCTGTGATGAACTTGTGACCACAAAGGAAACTCCTCAGGTGGCGTGTCGAAGGACTGCTTCTGTCAGAGCCCTTGTTAGGATAATGTCTGGTACGTTTATTGACACGCGGGTAGGTTTGTCTATTGTTTTAGACACGTTTTCTCGACAGTGCTTTTACCCTAACAATAACATAGGCTCGCATAAGAAGAGCTGTGTGGTCTCTATAACCATGGGCAGTCACACTGTTAACTTTCAGAGTAGCAGCCGTGTTAGTCTGTATCCGCAAAAAGAACAGGAGTAGTTGTGGCACCTTAGAGACTAA